CTCTCTCTCTCTCTCTCTCTCTCTCTCTCTCTCTCCCCTTTTTGTCTCTGTTTGGCTGCCAGTTGGTGCTACAATTCTGACCTAAATTGGGTACCACAAAGTTTCATCATTCCTGCTTTGGCAAATTCTGAAAAAAAGTTGAAAACATAATTTTGTATGGTGCTGGTAGTAATGGAAAATATATAATTTGCTTCATAATTAGTTCATTCTATAGGCAGACAGACTCAGACTATTACCGTATGCTAGATGAAATCTGATGAAAAAATCATGAAACCAATTACAGTCATTATTCGTTTGGCCAAGTAATAGGGAATTTCCTATGAGAGGATGTCCCAGTGTGCAAGTGCAGGCCACTGTAAGATTGTGGGTCACATGATTCACATCCCATCAGAAGCAATTATGTGTAACATTGGTGAAAGTGCGATGAAACATCCTGGTACAGTCATGATTTTTTTTGTTTTTGTGCCGTTGTCTGCAGCGTGCTTTGTTTTTTGGAATTGTATATAGCGAACATGACAAGACCACATTGCTGTGATTGACTAGTTTCTCAGACTTACTGCCATTCTCGTCAGGGGTTAGGTTCAGCAGTCTGCCAGGGTTGCAGGGTTGGTGTGAGTATATTCGACCACTTTTCTCTTTCAGGGGTGTTGCTGGCTCAGGGCTATCACTAACTCTGAGCATATCCTCCTCCTCCTTCTCCTCCTCCTCCTCCTCCTCCTCCTCCTCCTCCTCCTCCTACTACTACTACTCCGACTCCTACTACTACAACTTTTTCTTCTTCTTCTTCTTCTTCTTCTTCTTCTTCTTCTTCTTCTTCTTCTTCTTCTTCTTCTTCTTCTTCTTCTTCTCCTCCTCCTCCTCCTCCTCCTCTTACTACTACTACTACTCCTACTCCTACTCCTACAACCGCCACTGCTACTACTACCGCTATTCTTCTTCTTCTACTCGTCCTTCTCCTTCTCCTCCTCCTCCTCCTCCTCCTCCTCCTCCTTCTACTTCTCTTTCTCCTTCTTCTCTTTCTCCTTCTTCTTCTTCCTCTCCTCCCCTCCTCCTCCTCCTATTACTACTACTACTGCTGCTACTGCTACTGCTACTACTGCTACTACTAATAGTAATAATAACGGGTTGTTCCTTTTGCAGGGCCTTGTCAGTGATCGAAGGGGAAGGCGCATTGTGCTGGTGTTGTCATACCTGGGCACTGCGTTTGGGTACCTCCTCTTAGGGTACAGCAGCTCTCTGCAGGTACGCATGCGTTTGATAATTTCATTTCACGCCGCTGATCCTTGTAATCAATCTATGATCCAGAACAAAGAATCCACTCAAGTGGGACCTTGGCCCTGCGTAAAGTAATATGTTTGACCGAGTTCGGGCTTTGTGCCGGATCATCGTGCTTGACTGAGTTCAGGCTCTGAAAAAGGCTCAAACTACTATTGGATGGATTCAATATAGTTCGAGCCTTCTTGGAAGAATGCTCTGGATGTCTGACAGAGTTCGGTCTTGATCGCCCATCACTATTTGCCTGCCTGCTCGGGATCGTCAGGTTTTGAACCCTGGCCTTTTGGTTAGAGCTTGTGCAGTTCTGAACTGTCAGTACTTACCATCTTCTCCCGAATAGAATGCACGGTCATTATCGCTGTATCTAGACTGAAAGTTGTCCCAGATACAGTTATAATCACCATGCTCAAATGACGATGCAAAACTGGACTTTGAGACAATGCAAGATTTCTCAAGTCAAGAAGAACTGCAAACAGACAAAGAGCGGAATAAAATGAGGAAGAAGAAGAAGAAGAAGGAGAAGAAGAAAATGAACAAGTTTGAACCAATGTTATCTCCCTCTCCTCTAAGCCAACTTCACCTTCTTCACCCCATCTCCTCCTCTTTTTATGACCAATAAATTACAAGAATAAATGAGTGAATGGACAAGAATCAATATCCGATTATTCCACCTTACTGGAAGCAGTCAAAGAGCTTCCCTTTCGGCCTCACTCTTCACGCTTGCATTGAGCCTTGCTGCTCGACACCTTGAGCACACACACACATTGAGAGATCACACGAAATCCACGCTGGAGTCCAGAGATGCAAAGCCCAGATATTCGCAGCTTAGAAATTCCAGCAAATTATCATATAAAACAGTTTCGGAGTTCCAGTCACCAAGCGCTCAACAGCACCGAGTTCAGCAACCCAATACCAGCATCCTCATCTAAGGAAGGTGACTCTCTTCTCTCCCTGGCTC